CTCCTAGCTAGATTACATTTTCCTTTCCTTAACTTCATTCATTAGTTGCTTGAACCAGTATGAACAATTCTTCTCCCTTCTTAACATTTATACCCTTCAAATACTTCTACATGATTTTCATATCTACCACCTCAATCATCTGTTAGCCAGAACATACTTAGCTATTTTATTCTTAATAAATCAATCTTTCTGTTTTAGTAATTTTCACTGTTTTTCTCAGCATTCCTGTCAATAAACAATTTTGGGCATGAGGTACATAGAATTATATGCAATATTCTAGGTATGATGTCTCCAGGGCCCTACAGAAGCTACCACCTCTCCAGTCCATGATGCAATGCATCTGTCAAAAAACATATTTGTTTTTATTTCATTACCATATCACACTATTTCTGTTGCTTTTCCAATATATGTTTTGTTTTCGCTATAAAAATCTTTGAACAGTCCACTTCAAGATATACTGGCCATTTATTGGCCTTACACTTTACATTGAAAGATTGTAGAATGAAACCTGCAGATGGGCTCAACACCTGTGAAACATCAAGTCACTTTTTCAGGTGCCTTACGGTATGTCTACATTGCAATGTAAGCCTGCACTTGAGCCTGGCCTCAAGCCTAACCTCCTTTGTGTCTACGCTGCAATTGCGCTAACCCAGGACCTTAACTTGAGACCCACTAACCCTGGGCTTACATCATAGTGCAGACATACCCTAAAAGTATGGATTTGGGTGCCTAACTTTAAGTTTGAATATGTTGACATGTGTGGAAGAAGGCTAGGACATCCTGAAAGACACCACACTTAATGGAATACTGTAATTTTTTTTCCGGAAAAGTAAATAGAGATTGTCAAACGTAGAAAAAGAATTTTGTGAAAATTTTGAAGTTGTTCTCATTTGACAGGATTCAAAATGGACTAGCTTTTGGTGTTTTTGAAATATTTCATCAGTAAATCATTGATTCCCTCTCTTCTCCCATTTTTCAGGTTCTCTTTCTTTATTCCTCACCCCTCCAGTCATTTTCAAAATAAAACCTCATTTTTCAAATATGATTTGGGAGGAGGGGGGAGAAAGCAAGAAAGGAGAGAAGGCGGTAAGGGAAAAGAAAAATTATAAACAAAAACATAAAAAACCAGTGAGCATTTTCATTAAAAATGTATTGACATGTACAATATGTTGCAAAAAAATTCTATTTTCAGAAAAAGCCATTTTTTTACAAAAACCTTGGTGGTTGAAAAATTGTGACCAGTTCTAGTAAATAAGCAGCTACAATAAAAGGAAATTTCTCAGACTTTTTCAGGACGCTATTTGCTCTTTGTTTGTCAAATCTGTAAGCTTGAACACACATAAGGAAAAGAGCAGATTCTCCCCTGTTCTGAGGGCATGGCTCTGTCAGGCTGTCACCAAGGACTCACAGATCAGGATCACTTGCCTCTTGTCCCTTTCAATACTTTCCTTTTCTTCACTGATCATTCCATTATCTACCAGGATGTCTAGGTCAAAATTTTAGGTGGTGCACTTTAACTTGCTGTAGCTTTACAGACGTTCATTAAGTAAGGATGCTTTTCAGTGCTGTGTCATGGCTGAAGGCTGTATTTTTCCTTCTGCTTTAGTGCCTGCTTCAGGAACGTGTACTACAAGTTGGGCACTGGAATGACCACCTCTCACAAAAGGTGGGCCCTTCACATGGAATAGCTATCCCATTAAATTGGCATTGGTGACCTATGCACAGAATTGAGATGGATACACATTTTATTTTCTCTTCTTCTGAGTGGTGCTCCAGCTGTCGCAGTATTACCTTGACTAGGGTGTCTAGTTGTATGCCTCCAAACACACTATTCAATTCCATCCTATATGCTTCCATCTTCTTACTCTTTGTCTATTCCATCTGGAATTTTCACTTGCCAGAGACTTCAGCTCAAGCCCTCATCCTCTTGTAGAAACAAAGACATTCTACATGTCTCACATAAAACTGCCTTTGATCCTTAATAACCAGTCTATATTTAAGTTTATACTTCTTAACTGAAGTAGTGGCCCTTCACTGGTTGAAACTTATGGTCTAAGCAGCATACTCTCTCCAAAATGCTTGTCTGCAGTCTTTTCTCCACCGTTCAGCTATGCTTCCTGAATGTCAGCAATTATACTGCTCAACTGCACTGTTCATTAACAATGACCCACGAAGCTGATCTTTTCTCCCACTCCCTGAGTAACACTTCCAAGGCAATCCCATAAAAGTTCTAGCAACACAAAGAATATAGGATGTTATTGTACAAAACCACAGTACCATAACAGATGACTACATTTATTTCATACTAGCATGATTCCATAGCAGTTGTAATGCTGACTTTAACTATCTTTATGATAGCCATCAAATGATTCATTGTGCAGACACTTATGACAAGAAGAAAGAATGCATGGACAGTAATGAATTTTCAATTAAAAAACACAGTATCATGAAATGGTTCTCCCTGCTACAAAGATATGAGATTTACTGTGCCATTGACACATGATGGATTTATAAGGGTAACTCCAATTAAAGCAAACATTTCTATATATTTTATTATTACCAAGACATTCTGATTTATACCATATCAATCATAAATCTAAGTTAAATTAAGTCTAACACTACAACTGTAGCTTTCAAATGTCAGAACCAAGTTATTCTTTATTAGTTATATTGTATACAACATGAAACAACAAAAGACACGTTGAAGTTTTCATCTGTTTCTCTTGCTTTATAGAGAATGATAAACAATCATGATTACTTTATCTTGCAGTGAGAGGTGTACAGCAAAGGGAATGAAGCCATATACCGATTAACTGATTCATAGCGAAGGCTTTATTCATTTTCATTTCATATCAGCTTGCACTACTTGCCACTATCAAATCCAATTTAGATAGTCCAATGCAGTGCAAATACAGTTGATCCTCACCAATTTGCACTAGTGGCAGACTGACTCATTACAATTTGCTGAATTTTGTGAATTCTCATACACAAAAAGCAATAGTTATATACCACAAAATATACTTTGAGAATTTTACAACTATAGTTTAGTTTAATTATTGATAATAATTCATCGTGTACAGTACTAGGTGCACATAGCATAGCAAAAACTCTGTAATATGAATCTTTAATTACTGCTTCTTACATTATAAATTATGCTTAATTTTTGTGACTACTTACTATAATAGAATAACCTACTAGAATTTTACATTCCTGACATGAATATAAATATATATTTCCATTTTCTCATCTACACAAGTTGGTACCAGATTGAATTAATGATTTCAGCAAAGCACTTAAACATGTGCTTAACATAAAGCCTGCAAGTAGTCCCATTTGCTTTGAAATAGGGTTACTTAAGTACTTAAAGCACTCATGTGCTTACCTGCTTTGCTAAATCAGGATCACAATACTTATTGTTGTGTTGATTTTCATCTTATTTAGCTAATTTCCCTTTTCCTGTAAGCTACAGGTTAAATGCTCCCTTTGGGGTGGAGGTGATTGGCAAACTGCTGACTCAAAAGGTGGCATGGGTTAGCCTGGCTATCCCATGAAAATAATTGAGAGAACTGGTCTCTGCAGCATAACTCTTCTTAAGTTCTAGATTTGTTTGTTTTAATATTTTTGTGGGGGTTAATTTTTAGTAACTGTGTTAGAACCATGTGTTCTACAGAATTATCACAGGTGTAGGATATTATCAATTACATATATTGCGACAGCACCAAGAAGCCCCACTTACGAAGCAGAATCTGATGGTATTAGGCACTCCACCAACAAAAAGATTGTAAGCTTTTTGAGGTAAGGACAATCGAAAGGCTTCTCTACATGGGAAGTTATACTGGTACAATTATACTAGTACAGTTAAATTACTTTAACTTTCCATGTGGACCTCTTACTCTGGAATAAGACTGGATTATTTCAGTTTAGTTTCAAAGCAACATAAGCTAAACAAAAAGAAGGCCCTCTTAGATGAGAATAAGAGTATCCATGTGGGAGTTCTTTGGGTATAACTAGATTGATATAAATTCACACCTTACATTACAAATTGCCCTAAATAACACATGTTCAAGCCACAGGTCTGTACCGTCTTTCAACCTCAAAATATTCAGATAATTTGGTCCCAGGGAATAGTTTCTATAGGCATTGAAGACCCAGAGGTAGTCTTGTGGAAAGGATATATGCTTTATTCCATTTTTGTTAACTAACCAGAATTCATTGCTAATTACTCTAATTTCCCCCTTATTACAATACCCAAAAAGATTCCATGCAGCACCTCTACTAGAACTGCTTATTTTTAGATATTTGTTGATTTGGTATTTTATTAGTAACCTTATCATGGAAGATGAGTGATGTTATTTATTATTGAGAACTACATGTATTTTGAATCACGTCATTGATTTTTTTTTATTGAACTGTCATCTGTGTGTATTAATACACATTTTAATTTTATTTTTTAAAATATTAAAATACTATATTTAACTACAAGATTAACACCACTTCTGGACAATCTGAGGACAAACATCTTTGAAGTTCCTCTATCTCACGTCTAAAGCTTTTGACTCTGCACAAACTTTAAAAGTACTACTAAGACTCCTAGAACACCTAGAAATTGAAACTTCCCATTATAACTGAAATTTGTCTATTTTAGTTAAAAGAAGTCATATTTGGTTTAGGAAAAAAGACAGTACGACCAATGTGAGGCCATGTACTTATTTAAGAAATCAAGTTATTTAAAGTACTACCGTGTTCAAATTCTTTATAGCAAAATAAACTGGGGAAAGATGTTGAAATACCCTCTTTTCCTCACAACCACCTCAGATCATTTTTTCTACTTTAGTTATTTCATAAGATTTTTTTTTTTGCCATCTGGATTAGGATCTTGATTTGAATGCTTCAGATAACTCAAATGAAATTTAGTCCAAAAATATCTAAAGAATCAGTAATATCAGGATACAGTAAATATTCGGAGTATCACAGGCAGTTAGATTAATCACTTCACATACCTGTGGTTTTTCAGGTTCCTGTGATTAGTCATGTGTTCACTCTCTTCATTTTCTTATAGAGAATAGTAACTTCTGTCAGTTTTTGTTCTTGGCTTCTACACTGCCACCTGTAGTTATATAGGAGAATTTAGTCATGCCTGTAAAGCCTACCATCACAAAATATTTAATCTCGTTTATTTTACTACACAACCATACTAGTAAAATGTTCTCATCTGTACCAGGACAATTAAAATACTTATATTGTGTTATGTGTAAACTTCTTGGTAAGGAAATAAATGATTCCAACATAATTTAATTCAATGGAATATTTAAAGACTCTAAAAAACAACTAAAAAACCCAATAACCTTGTATCCCACCATCTACTTCTGTGCTGTTTAATGGATACTTTATAACCCTGAAAGGCAATACTATAACTTTTTCAAGCACAGAGAAATATCTGTACTTCGTTTTCAATTAAATATAAGACTATCCCAACTTCCATTTAAACATCACCATTTTACAAAAATGTACTTTTCATGGATAACTTGGTTACCTGATATAATTTGTAATGATATGCACAAAAAATTAATGTTGACAACATGAAATAATTAGATGTTTATTGAAAATTAAATTATGTTGAACCCCGGAATTTTCTTATTGTATAAAAAAGTTCATTTTAAATGTACTGTAATAAATTAGAAAATAACTTTTACTCCAAAATGCCACATTCTCCAGATTCAAGCATTTACATACCAGTCAAACAAAAATGCAAGCTGGGTATTTAAAGACCTCACAGTCATCTCATATTCTGGGGGGAAAGGAATATTTTAACTTGTAAAAGCAAAAGCCTATTTGTATTTAGCATATTTGTTTCATTCAGCAACTGAGTGAGTTTCAAGGGAAAATCATCTTTTGAAAGATCATGGTTTTTTGCATGTGCACACACTCTCTTGGCTCCACTTATTAATTTTTGATATTCTGTCTACAAGTAACTGTAGGACCACTCTCTCTAGTACTTCTCTACCTGGAAAAATGTTATCAAGTCATTAACTATCTGAAACTAAATCATTTCCTCATGCCACTGCGAGCACATGCATGACAACGGCTGTTCTCATATTTAAAATCTGAAATCATAAAAGCTTTTTGTGTTGCATATGATCAAAACATCTATAAAAAAAATCACAAACTTGAAGAGAAACATATTTATGCCAAACAGAGATTAAACATGATTTGCCACCAAATTTCTCTAAAGCAAAAAAGTCTGATGGTGCTTTATTGTGTGGTGCAGAGCATAATATGAAAAGCCAGGTAAATCCTTCACTGCACCTAGTTCTGCCTCCCTTGAAGTTACTAGCCAAAATTTCACCTCAAAGGGAATTGCGTTTTCCACATTGCTCACTAAAAACGCCAATCGTTCTCCTGTCAAAACGTACACATGCAGCCACCTTCGGCACCCTCATTGCACAGCTTGGCTATTATCAATTCCTTAATACAAGTAACTAAATGACAAGTAAGCAATGCAAGAAAACTACTCCAATATATATATAACTCCCCACACCCGCACACACGCGCGCGCGCACGTTGTCTGAAAAGCACAGACATATGGGATGAATCTGAAGATCTAAAAAAGATTAAACTGAAATTCCGAGATGATGCGTCTCTCTGTCACACACACCCCTATTTCCAGCTGGGAACAGACACGTTCAGCACTAGGTGACCCTGTGTCTGAGCCCCCCCGGGAGAAAGGGGAGGGTCACGCGTGCAACCAGAGACCCGCCAAAGGGCTGGGGGACGCTGGAGCCACGCGGCTGCCCTGCAGCAGCCGGCGCGCCCCAGGGCAGGGGCTGGCCGTGCGGCGGCCGCGGGCGCTGCCCACCTGCGCACGCCCGGGCTCCTCTTTGCCTCCCGGTGCCGCAGGATGAAGCGGCGGCGGCTCCTTGCAGCGCGGGCTCCCTGCTGCCGCCGCTGCCTTTCCTCCTCCCCGCGCCACACAGCCGGGGGAGCAGCTCGCTCCGGGGGCCGCGGCTCCACCCTCCGGCCGCTTGGGATTCCTAGGGAGGGAGGGACGGCGGCGGCTCTGCCCCTAGCCCGGCTCGCTGGCACGTTCTCCCGCGGCTGCTGCCCGGCTCCGCTCCCCGGCAGCGGCGGCGGAGCCCCAGCGACTCTATAGCGAGCAGCACCTACCCGCCTGCTCCTCCCCCACCTCCTCTTCCTCTCGCTGCCCTCCCCCTCCCCCTCCCTGCATCACATGGCCCAGTCCCTGCCGGCGCCTCCGCCGCGGCTTGGGGCGCAGCCCGCTCGCCAGCCCGGCTGCTACTGCCGCCTGCACGCGGCGTGGCCGCCCCCGCCGCCCAACCTGCCACACACAGGGTCACCTGACTCACTGCTGCGCGCCTCTTCCCCTTCCTCCCCCGCCGCCCGCGCCCTCCGGCCAGCCCACCTGCCCGCGCCCCCGGCCCGTGCCAACGCAGCCACCCACAGCCCTGCTGCGGGGAGACTCACCCCCCCCCGAAACACTTTTCTCGCAACACAGCTACTGCACCCCCCGCAAAGGGGCGCTGAGAGCAGCAGAGATTGCCCCTGCCAAAGCAGAGGAAGTTGAGCTCTGTGTGCTCCCCAGTACACGTCTCTGCCTGCGGGTACTGGTGTCTTTTCACTGACCAGGCGGAAGATAAGTGGTCGTTGGCTCCCAGTTTCTGTTTGCCAGCAGCACGGCCACTCTCAGGCTCGATAGGCAAGGCAAACGAATCCAAAATAACACATGAAATAAGTTAAATGTATATATTAACTACCCATCTTTCCTCCTCAGAGATCTTTATATCATTAAAGCAACAACGAAAACCCGACAGGAACCGCTGTGTTTCGGAAGGCACTTCAGGACATGGGAATGCATGTCTGAAATGTAATTAAAAGAAACAAGTGGACTTAGCCCATTTTTAAAAAATCATGTACATAGCTTTTAGGAACATGTTCAAAGTCCAATGTTTGATTACATTCAGGCATCTGATGGTGGAAGATGTCATAGCTGCAAGTCATCAGATTTTACACAATGTTTACCCACTTAACTAAATGGACTTTTTTTTTAACATTTGGAAACAAATCTAGAAAAAAAAGATTACTGTAATTATAGCTGGAGAATGGAGGAGAACCTCAGTTGGGGTAAATTTTCATACTTTATACACTGGCTCAGGATCTGCCCCCTGCCTTATTAAAGAATAGTTCACTGATTTGGTTTTTGTATGTTGTTTAAAATTTTAGAAATAAATGATGTATTTATTTTAGTTAAATTATTTGTCTTTGTTTCCTATAGATCAGATTACATCCACTGTGAAACTGACTTCAAAATAATATAATTGCATGACCCAGCAGTCCAACTGGGTTACAATAATTCTTTTTACTGCATTATTATAGGTTTGTACTGACTGATATGGAATTCTGTTTTTTGGCTTTATAAAATAAAAATCCATGATTTTAATACCCATCCCAACTATATATTCAAGTTTGGCAAGGGCAGGGTTTTTTGTTTGATGAAATTATGTTTTACCAACCTTTTACTCTAATCCTGTATTTTAGGATCTATATTTTTTAAAACCAATGAATCTGAAAACAAAAATCCATACATTCTTACAAATCTATTTATACTGTGAAGCATGCTAAAAGAATCACTGTTAACCCTCTGACCCTTGTCTAGTCTGCTGAACATTCGCTTAGTTTTCAGGTACTCTTTTTTAGCCTGAGAAGCGAACTCCAAAAATTGCTGTTAACCTGGTTATTCTAAATAATATGAATGCTGGATAAGAAGTATTTATTTATCAGACTAAATGTAGCATGTGCATAAAACAATAATACTTTTTAATATGAAATGTAGAAATTTCATTTATTTGAAAGCCATTTTAAAAATCCTTGGCTTCATAAAACTAGAATCTTTTCTATTATCTTTCAAACATTTATCCATAGATACAAATAAATATTGGTATAGTGTAAATATGTATTTGTTTCTTTTAAAAAATCAACCTGTAAGCATATTTATAGCACGTTTTAAATAGGAAAAGATCAAAGCCAAATAAAGCATCTTTACAAGAAAAATATTTGAATAGTCTTACTGAGAAAAGGACAGTAACTGATTTGTACACTTTGAAATAACATTTCTACCCTACTCTTAACAGGCAAATGCTTTTGGTCTTTCCTTCTCAGGATGCAACAACCTGACTGTTTAATGGTACAATGTTTTAGAAGAGGATAATATGACCATTATTCAGTTTTGAGTTTATAATTCTGCTTACAAAGGTAATTGTTTCAAAATATATCAGAATTTTTAAATTCAAACAAATAATAAAAAAGCCATAAGGTGCTTGACTTTAGATTTAAAGTTTGACCTCTTGTCAATGTATCTACATAAAATTATAATACCATCCAGTGTGTCCCAAATAGGACAGGTTTTCCAATTTTTCTCTCCAACTGAATTTTTACTAAAATTTCATTGTGTGTATTAAATTTTTTATTAACTAATGAGTACCATTTGGAAATTCAGTAATTACCTGGAGTTAGGTCTGTCAGTGTCTTCATTTTGGCTTGTTGAGCTGCATCTCTTTAAACAAAAGCTATAGAGTAGGGACAATACAGACGTGCCTCCAATCCAGAAGTATTAGGCCATTTTCCATTCAGTCCACTATATATATATTGCTTTGTCTGAAAGTGTCATCGTTATAATTGCTACAAATGCAGTGAATCTGTAGAAGCAAGTTCTTTCACTGAACCATGTTGTCTGCCCAGGTTTTACCTTCCTTATAAAAAGTCAACAATCTTTCAGGTCTTACATGAAGCCTCCCTAAAATCTAGATATTTTAAATGAAACCAGGTGGAGGTTCCATCTTTACTCTGATTCTCAAATACAGTAAACAAGCATTTGGCCACTTCATTACTAATACAACACTACCCTATTTGCCTGGAGTTCTTGAGCTGCAGAAAATTGTATAAAATCAGGTCTGTGCAAAGAATATCATGTTTCTTTCAGATAGCATTGCTTCTTCTTACCAGCATTTCAGATTTGAAAGAAAGAATGAATTATGTTGCTAAAATAATTCAGAACCAAATTGAGAAGTCAAATAAAATACCATTCTTCTTCTAAATCTGGGAGGGAGTCATAGTGTAGGCAAAAACAAAAACCAAGTAGTTAATTCCACTTTCTTCATATTTGCACCAAAAAAGGCTCCTTTCTGCTTTCACCAATGCCACCAGAATCTATACTGCAATTGTTTAGTTGCTTCAGTGGTGAGAATTTTCAGTTTTCCAGATAATGAGTTGTGATTCAACACTCCTACTGATATAATGTCTCCACCTCAGCATCCATTTACTTTGTACAGTGTTAAATCAGAACTGTAATTCCTTCCCCCAGAACCTATTCAGTGCAACCAACCCAGTGATTCCTTGTCTAGTCTGTTGCAGCATTCACCTTGTTTTCAGTTCCTCTTCTTCAGTCTCACATATTAACATCTGATCTGCAAGCAATCTCTAGGAATTAGAGGAATTAGCCCAAAGAATGTTCTCATCATCTCAGACTGTTTAAGCTAATTTGCTCTTCATTTTGACTTTCACTACAATCGCCACTTTTCCTACTGAGAAACTCTATCCCAGTTCTTGCCCATGTGGAGACAGATGCAGTTAGACCTCCTTTTCTTTTCTTTTCTTTTCTTTTCTTTTCTTTTCTTTTCTTTTCTTTTCTTTTCTTTTTTTATTAGCTTGGTTTTGGCTTTTCTAGATTGATTTCCTTTTCCAGCCATCCTCTATAGGCTAATTCTGCTTACTTCCCAAAAAATATTGAGGATTTAGAACATCTTAAATCTGTCCCTCTTCCTCTTCTCTCCAGCTTGGACAGCCTTCTAATTTTTCAGCCAAGCCTCAACAATATCAGTGTCTCCAGTCATTCTATTTTTCCTTTCCTCTTTCCTCAATTCCTGCTTCAATTGTCACTTGCTGCCTCTGTCTGTACCTCCAGATAAATATACCTAGCAGGATATTTGCTGTCTGCCATGTATATTATACCTCTCAACCTTTACTTTAGACCTTTTATTTCCTACAGTTCCCATTCCAAAATATAAAGGGCTCTGTTTCCCCAAATACTTGAGCAGCAAATTATAATTACATGTAGAATTTAGAAATTACTACTAAGAGAAATTATTTGCTGCTTTCTTTACCCCAAATTCCAGCACAAGTTCTGCATCCCAAATTCCTGTACAAGTTTCTAAGCACATGTAATGAGCCAAACTCCACACCATTTAAGTCAGTTTATACCACTCTGAAAGCAGAATTTGGCACAATAAAGTTGAGAAGACTGGGGGAAGATATTAATTTTTAGAACTATTTGAAGAGCTTACACACCAAAGACAAAGAGAAATTTAGGGCACCGTATGGAAGTATAACCATGAGTAATAGAATTAAAGTAAGAAAAAAACATTTACAAGTAAATTAAATTATACAATTCTTCATTGGGAAGTCATTTTACTTATTGCCACTTAGCTACTAAGATATTGTATAAAAAGAATGTATAAAATATTTAAAATTCAGAAGTATGATGCTACGATGGTAATAAGAAAGCTACATTACATAACCCCTATGGACTATATATCATCATATCCCTTGTGAGCAGCTCAAAAATAGTCCTAATTCCAAACAATCACCTTGGCTCTTTTTGCTATTCACTGTGAAAGTCAACATAAGCTGAAGAGGATACTTTTAAATTTTTGAATCGCCTAATAAAGTTTCCAGTTTTGTAGTCAGTTAAGTTGCCAGAATGAGCTCTGAGATGATGGCTAAAGAAAAGGAAGATAACTATACCAGTCCAAAATAACAATAATGCTCTCGTTAAAAACCATTAATTTTCCTCTAACATCTAATATTTAAAACTATTAATTTGTTCATGCATGAAGGGTGAAAATTCATCTCAGTGAATTGCATAGGTCAATAACAGGTCAAGTCCCTCAACAGAAAATTCAGAAGTAGGGTATGAATTAGTGGCAACTGGGAGGGCACTGTGTGGATAATGATGGGAGAAATGGTCACTCCTGGGTAGAGGTGGAAGGAAGAGGACATATTTACACCACCAGATATTAACGAACTGTAGTACAAGGCCTGTGCTCCACTCTGGGGCTAGACAACCCTGTAGAAGAAGGCTGGTCAGTTTCCACAGATCAAGTTTCCCCTTAAAGGATTTCATTGATCTGAAATCCCTCAGGCAAATTAACACTTGCCTGTAACACCTGATATCTTCTCAGGCTGCATATTTCCTCTCAGGTCAAATTTTTACTCTTCTTCTATTAATAGGATCTTTCAAGCCTT